ATCTCTAGACTGTGAAAACCGAACTTGACTTGTATTGCGTGGCTAACCTTAGACAATGTTCTCACACTTATAACCTACTTACATGTATATACTCTGTTCTCCCTAAGGACACACGCTGCACTCGCACGTGCATAAGGGCGCGTGCCGGCAAAATATTAATTTATCCCAAACTCGTTCCTCGTTTGTCACAAATTACATTTTGTAGTAGTAGTCATGTCATGGATCCATGCAGTACATGTAGCCTGATTTCTTCATACACATTGAATGATTTCCCATTACAACTATTCAATCACCAAGCTTTACTGATTTTAAGGCCAGTTTACACTTGCGGTTTTTGCAGAGCGATTCTCGCAGCGATCACCTGAGTTTCCAACATGCTTGAAAATTGACTACGATTTCCCATTGTCACAACAATCGCAGGGCTGTTTACATATACGATTTTAGTTGCGTGATAGCAAAATGAGATTATTGTGCTGCAAAAATCGCAAGTGTAAATGGCTCTTTAGAGATCTGTTATCTTAAATGTTCAATGTACAATGTACCTTCTTGACACCTCATCTGAATGGTATATGAACCAATGTAATATAAAGCATACATCATCGTCATGACATGAACCAAACTTTCTTGTTTCTATTCACAGGACTCCCAAACCATCAGGCTTCTATACAGGTATTATATTATAAGAATTTTGTGAATTTATAATATTCTACATGTACCAGTTGGTTAAATCTTTATACAACACTGTGATTTTCATTCTAACACAATTGACTGTTCTTAAAATATAGTAATATTCTCATTCCTAGGATAGGAGACATTATGAATAGCTAATAAAGTTATACAGATTTGACCCTAAGCCCGCTTGCACTGGAATTTTGAGAATTGTCAATTCTTAAGTAGCACACTTTACACACTTTACTAGATAAATGTATTGTTTTATTTTGTAGCTGTGTGTTTCCAAGCTAAGAATTCTACTTGAGGATCCTGATCAGAACTGTAAGTACAATACCTATCATACCATATAGTACATCTTTTGGACAAGGTACAGTTTCTTGAAAGATTATTATTAATAGTAATGCACATGGGAAAAAGAGAAAGACTGGAAAAAAGCACTATGGAAAGCAAATCAGTACGCATATCAATGGAATCATCAAAATACAATATACTTTGATTATTGGTTTAATTGGTGGTGTCATCACAGTGATTTTATGGCCAATTTTTAGTTGACATCACAGCAGACATGTTTTCCTCATACCACTGGACTAGAATCACTATTAACATGCAATGACTAATAGGCTGCAACTACCAGACCTGGAACTAACTCCATGAAACATTCTAGAAATGTTCTAGAAGTGAAAGAAAGTTATAGTGGTTTTTTAATGTTCTGTTTGTTGTGTTGTAGTGAAATATCTTGCACTGCTGTCAATGTCCAGCATATTAAAGACACATCCCAAGATAGTACAGCAACACAAGTAAGCACTGATGCCTCTAGATTGTCATGTCTAGGATATTGAAAAGAAAACGCTGCTCGGGAGGTTGTTTGAAGTAGATACATATCGTAGATTTATCTTTTTTAAGTCCAGTATCCCCGTCCGGTTTTTCATGTTCTGCCCAGTCTATGGTATACTGCAGCTAAGCTGCAAGCAAAGTTGCATAAAATGCATGTACAAATAAAAAAAAATAAAAATATTGTTTACCGTCTATAGGTCGGTCCGTGTAGGAAAACACTGCTCTCGCTCTTTTATGTACGGACCTCGCTGCACTCGTTCTGTACTGTCAAGACCTCGGGCATTAGTTTCCTATATGGACCTCCTAGCCAATAAATAACATATGTATCCAATGGGCATTATTGGAATAATGGAACATTAATGGAACATTTTTGGATTATATTATTGGAAAGCTACTAGTTACTGTATTAATTATGGTGTATTTGTAGGGATATCATTATTCAATGTTTGGATGACAAGGATGAGTCTATTCGGTTAAGAGCATTAGACCTAATAGTAGGCATGGTAGGTACAATCTTTTTTGTAGTATTAGTGTCGCATACCTTACCATAGCCACCTAAGCAAAGTCTTGTGCAAAGAAGGGTAGTCGATCAGAAAGTAAAAATGTGCTTTGAATGAACTACCACTCCAAAGGAACTGCTAATTCAGCCATGAATGAGGTATTCATGGCAAAGTATACTTTAAAGTAGTCATGTTTAGGTGCAGTAAACTGTAAATAATTCCCTTAAAAAAAAATTGCTTCAATTTTCTTTCCTTTTATGTAGCTTTCTTTCCTCTCGGATGTTATGATTACTAAGTTGGTATTTTTTCATCTTTTTAAGATTTCTAAGAAAAAYATAATTGAAATTGTCAAGAAACTCATGATCCACATTGACAAGACAAGCAGCCAGAGTAAGTTGTGAGATTCTTTTTCTATGTTATCACCAATCCCTCATTTATTCATCCATCAGTTATTCTTGCAGTCATACTCATAAATTTGGTTATCTTTCATATTATTTTCGTCTATCTATTCCATCATACCTTCATGGCAAGATAACATGTATTGCCATTTAGTAGTCTGACGTTGCAATCAACATTTGTTGCATTTAGTCCTTTTATTTTGCGTTTATAACAGATTTTTTCATTTGTTTATGTGTTCATTTTTTCATCTATTCATTGGTTACAGTTTATTTGCTAATCCATTTAGTTATTTACTTGTTCATTCATTCATTCATTCATTTGTTGTCATCTGTCAGGTTACCGTGATGAGTTGCTTTCAAAGATCATTCTGATTTGTAGTCAGTCTGATTACCACTATGTCACCAACTTTGAGTGGTAAGTCCTTGGAATATTGTTGGATTTTAAGAGACAYTGAAATATTTCTAGAATTCAAAAAGGAAGTGGTGTCAATCTCAATGCAGTTTAARTTCAATCAATAAAATTCACAATCAAGGATTGTTGTAATAAGAAAGGGAAAACTGTAATTAGTATATTAACAGATTGTTAAAGTGCTACTTGCATGAAAATGGCCTCATTTCAAAACTTCAAGCAATACAAATATATGACTCATTTATATCTATTAAAAACAATTGCGGGAAAATATTTGTCTTGGAATTATCCCACATCAGAGAAAGTTTGATTCAAAAGATGGAAGAACAAAAGGATGGAGTACATGACGTCATCTACTCCAACATTTTTTGCCCAAATTATGAAGGATTTGCATGAATATTTTCTTGAAATCTGCTGCTTCATGATTATTACATCCATATGGATAGGTCTATTTGATTCCCAAGTCTTTTCTAATGTTTC